ACATTACGTATATTCGACAGCATCCGGCGTCCATTTGTCATTATTGACGGCGGGGTTCAAATTTACAGACATAAACTTCAACACAATTTCCCGTTACAACTGTACATTTCACAGAGGCGGTTTCCTCCTGATATTTTCGTTACAGCTCTTACACAAATATCGTTAAGTACATAATACAGGGCACAATGGCGCAGGCCAAAAACCAATTCCTGATATTCTGCAGGGCGTGATTAAACAGCAGATGAAGTTGAGGTTCTCACAGCGGTGGGTATGAGGAACTGTTCAGCAGATGAAGTCGAGGTTCTCACAGCGGTGGGCATGAAGAACTCTTCAGCAGATGAAGTCGAGGTTCTCACAGCGGTGGGCATGAAGAACTCTTCAGCAGATGAAGTTGAGCTTCTCACAGCGGTGGGCATGAAGAACTCTTCAGCAGATGAAGTTGAGCTTCTCACAGCGGTGGGTATGAAGAATTGCATCTTCTGCGATACAACACCGTGTGCTCCTTCTATTGTTGCGTGTGTTTATTTCAGCGGGAAATCTTAACCAAGTCGTTGCCTAGCAATTAACATCTACTCTGGCTCCGCTATGCCGGCGTCATGTCACATTATGCTAATCTAACACTAGTGTGGTGGCGCGGACAACAGTTTGAGAATTAGCTGTATAAAATAAAAAGCTTTGAAAGGACCCCAGATCCACCGCCCTTAACCCAACAAGGCACGAACCCACGGAACTCAATTACCACTCCACTATTTAGTTTTTTAACATGCCTTAGAATCTGCAGGAAGTAATTTTTGTTTCCAGGACTGTGTCACTGTCGCTCTGTGCTTATGAGGACCCTCCACGTAGAGGACTCCACACAATAAAATGAAAATGCTAGACCGACAGGACATATCCTCGCAACTGTGGCGGTACTTACGGACGGGACATTAAAAAGAATTAGGACACACAGTTTTAATAGCAAGAAGATTATACGAACAGGAGAGAGGGCTTTGTTACAGGGAAAATTGGGTGCAATTTATTTGCAAATTACTCTCATACCAGCACGTCTAGAACTGTGTGTGGTGGCGTTAATTTTCACCCCACCCCCCACCCAAACCCCCATCTTCTTGAAGTTTTTCTCTAACACGTAATAATACGGCTCTGGGGGTTGAGGATGGCGGAGGTTATGCAGAGCTGCGTCACGTAATTCTGTGCCGCAGTTCACATAACCTCCAGGATTTCCCAGAGGACACTGAATGAGAAATAGGGAAGGGGTTTCGATTGCGCACGCCTGCTGGAATTTATCGCAAATTCTGATTGATAGAGAAATGCGATTTGTGGCACATGATTGGCTAAGCGTTTCAGTTCTTCCTTTACTACTCAATTAACCACGTTACCAGTAACTCAGAACTGGACCTATGGCATTCAATTGTAAAAAGTTAAGCTATCCCTCTAACAGGCCGTGGAGGCCCATAGGGTTGTGAGACGTCGAGGCTCCCACATTTTCTAGACAATCGGTTCGCAGATGTGTGAGTCTGTCAGCCTTACGCGCCGACCGCCCTTTACTCCCGGGAAGATTGCTGGTACTCGTTTCTGTTAGAGGCTGAGTCGGCCATAGGGCGGCTAAAAGGAATAGGTCGACCGAAAAATCCAATGACCTCATCGGGCAACGAAACCGCGACCTTCCAACTTGTAGCATAGTGTCTCAACCAACTACGCTATGGGGGCAGCGCCATAGCTCAAGCGGTTAGTCGCTGCCTTCCCACCTCTCGGCGGCCCGGGTTCGATGCCGGGTCTGGTAAAGTGCGATTTGTGGTGGACAAAGTGGCGCTGAGGCAGGTTTTCACAGAGTACTTCTGTTTCCCCTGCCAATCTTCATTCCACCAATTGCTCCACAATCACACTCACCTATCATCTCGGGCTGGTACAACAGGCCAGAAGTGGCCGCAGTACAAGGGACTTAGGTCCACCCCACTAGCAATAAAAAAACTACGCTACCGCGTGCCCCCGGATTCAGTTAACTGCAAAAAGAAACAATTAAATAGAACATATGGAAAGGAAATCACGAGACACTGACCACAGGAAAATTTTAAAGAACCCCGAGAAACTGACTGTAAATACTCACTCTCATCCATGCGAAAGCCCCCACTAACAATTCCCATGATACGAATTTATTCCGATATAATATGGAATAAAGAATGAAGTTAATATTGTCACGTGTATGAGTGACTATCGACGGGGTTTGGATTGATAACTGGATTTACTAATCGTAGCTCTAAGTAACTATAACGCTGTTGCTACTTCACACACTCTCCAGTTCAGTACAGCACGTATTAAGGCTTCCCAGTCTGCTGCCTCTTCACCAGTCGTTGTCTGGTGACGGATCCCAATGTCCTCTGCTTCCGTGCTCACGTTCTTACTGCTTGCCGACTGCCCCAGAACTAACTCCTACTCTTCTAACTACCGTCTCAAGACTTGGTTTCTTTTAGTTTCTTGGGGTGGGACGAGGCTGTCCACTTGGTACGCCGGCCACCAACTGGCCTATTGTACCAGCCGGCGAATGATGATGATAAGCGTGGAGCAGTCGCTGGAATGGGAATGGCAGGGGAAAGAGAAGTACTCGGAGAAAACCTGCTCCAGTGCCACTTTGTCCACCACAAATACCACGACTTCACCTGGACTCGAACACGGGCCGTCATGGTGTGAAATCGGCGACTAACCGCCTGAGATGCTGAAGACTCTTAGTCAAACTGAAAGAAGTCAACGTCAAAGTGACCTTAAGACTGGAGGTTTACCGTCAATCAGTTCGTCTTGGCGCCAAGTCCTTTGAGGATCACGACCAGATATTTTGTGCAACTGAACTCTTATCTAACATCATCTCTGAAGAGAATAAAAGTAAAAGTTTACGGAGCCACTACTTAGCAACGGCTATTGTATAGCTGTTTATTTCGCGGCCGTTGCTTAGCAACGTGTCTACGTGTCACAAAATTAATTCAAACCGCTATTATTTACTTCAAAGGCACCCTGTTACGGCATACTAACGTTTCGTAACACACAATAATTCTAAAGAGAAACAGGAGAGAAACCACATAAACACACATTACACCTGGAATGCGCAGTATAACCAAGTTGGTAACCATGGAAACCAAAATCGGCGGACTGACAGCTTGCGATATAAATAATCCGGATACGGCCAGACTCTCACGTGAGATATTCCTTCTAATTGCAGCAACTGGTTTCGGTTTTAATTAAGGGACAAGTACTGTTGCCTTCCTTTGTACTCTCGCGTGACGTCACAGCCATTATTTTCACGGGATAATGACATCAGCAACTGAAGATTAAATAATGTAATTTCTCCCTGAAGCGGCGAGCTTTCTGAAGGATGAGCCTACGAGTTAATGAGCCACGTCACACAGAGAATGTTATCAATTCAAAACCAAAATGCAATAATCAATATACACTCCCGGGAAGATAACTTATGAATCCTCAATTAGCCATTGCAGGGCCGTGTCGCTAAAGCATTCTGATCACGAAAATTAATCGCACGTTAGATGAATGGAAAGGTTTTATTCCATGGAGGAACATAAATTCGAATGTTTAAAATTTTACGTTGCGTGTGAAAATGCGGCGTGGACTAAACTGGCTGAGACTATGGCCCCGATCACTGGCAACGAAAGGAGAGACACACAGACTGATGGGAGGGACTTATGGAGTACGCCGTTGAGATGGGCTCATGTGTCATGACATACATGCCGATTTTCGTAAAGACTGGTTCAGGCATTCAGAAGTTCACAGGGAAGATAGACAGAGACAGGCGGACAGAGATCGCATAAGCCTACTTCACGACAGAAATGCGTAAGTGTGGTTACAGGTACGTAAGCGTCCATGGACGACATTCATGGCGGATCCAGCTGTAAAGTTAGCCAAAAACTGACGTGACCTGCACAACACGGCAAAGCGGATAAATATTTGCTAAAAAGAAAAGGAATTCAGGAGAGAGACAGAACAAAAAACGAAACAAAGGAAGGACGGAGGTAAAGAGACGCAAAAGAAGAAGACCGACAGATCTCAGTCCCCGTCTGAAGGTGGGTTACACCTCCACCGCAGGCCTGCGGATCGTAGAGGGTGACAAAAAGTGAACCCGGTCCCTGGGGGTATACCTGGTCCTCCAGACTCGGGGTTGGACGCAGGGCTGACGGCATGTTCTGTGGAAGAATTACTGTCGCGAAATGCGAAGTGCAAACCGGATGCAGTCTGTCAGACCCTCCTAGGGACGGCTGTGGCTCACAAGGGGCTGTTTTGCCGATGATGATGATGATGATTTATTATAAAAGTGTGGCCCGCGAATGCCTGTGGAATGTGTAAAACGTGACAAATTCGGAATGGTGGATCCACTTTGAGCCAGTATCATTTGACTTATCTTCACAATAAACAAGCAACCTGTTTTGGTACACTGCCTCCTGGAGGATATTCAGAAGGAAAAAACTCCGTGATTTTAGTCCGCAAGGGAATTATACCGACCGAGCGACCGCCGCTTGTCGGCAAATTTTAGTGCCAACTTTAGCGGATAGAGGGTGTCGCGTGGTCAGCGCAACGGATCCCCACGGCCGTTAATTTCGGTTTCCTAGACCGGGGAAGATATTCAGAAACTAAGGTTAAGGTATGGAACATCTGATCTGGTGGCGGACATCAGAAAGGAAACGCCTGGAGTGTCTGGGGCATATAATTGAGACACGGGCAGATGAGATAACATCCGGGAAATAGCAACAAGGTGCATGAAAAGTGGGAAGGCCCAGGCTGAGATGACAGGAAGACGCAGAGCTCCGAAGTGCTGAGATGGACGCAAAAGACGAACTCCAGACAAGAATGGCCAACTGCTGTAAATGAGGCCACGGTTATTGGAGGAATGTAGCTGCAAGAACTACGGTGTTTACTCGTAAATCAACTGCAGGAAACACTGTGTCGGGAACACTTCGCAGTAAATCACTTCATCAAACAGTTAACATGAGTTGTAACCTTACCAGACTGAGAACCTCCTCCTGGGAAAGGCTGGCGGGGGTGGAGGGTGTTGTCCTCTGGGCGAGGGTACATCGGCCGACTCGGAACGGAGGGCCATGACGCGGGACACCGGCCGAGCACTGCACCGCTCATTTGCCAGACCCGCCCCAGCTCCCGCTGCGACTCCCATCAAGCCTGCCGCAGCGCCGAGCGCAGAAGCAGAAGGGGCACTGCTCGACACCAGGATCGAGTTCTTCAGCTTCTGCTGCTGCTGCCGGAAGTGCTCAACACTTGCAGACACTGTGTTGCTCCGGCGGTCTCGGGAATGGAAGGAATTCCACCGTCTTATGGGTTCCAGTGGACCGGGCCTTTTGGGGCACACACCACCCACTTTGCAGGGGCCCGCTGAGGGCACAGTGCCATTGTTAAAGCCGCCCATCTCGGATTTATACTGGCGGTGCTGCATCAATAACTGAGTCGAGTGTTTATGCATTTCTTTATATTTTTATTTTTGATTTATATATGTGTGTGTGTGATGTCGCCTTAAAGATCCGCCATGTTGCACGCATTTCCAAAAATGCCCCCCCCCCAATATCTTCAAATTTTACTGCACATTTCTGTATACATTGTTACAGATGTCGTTCATTTGACTTGGCACTTCCCGCTATGGGAACAGTTCCACTCCTCACAAGACGCACAATATACCACACCACATCAGAGCTCTTCTTCAGAGCGCAGTTCATAAACCTGGATCCCATCACGCTCCGTACACACAGGATTCACCATGAACTTCTTATGAATAAAACTTTTTACACTGCTTTGGGGTATAATTGCAAAAATGTTCAAACCACATTATATATAAGAAAACATGTTCTTACACGTAATTGTACAGTCATAAATCTGGCGAGTTACCTAAAACAGCCTTCCTTTGGTACGATGAAAATAGTTTCACACAAAATTTCCGATGAGGTCATGTGTGTCATAAAGCCAAAAATACCCATAATCTGAACTTCCCTAAATGTCGATTTAAATTAGTCTACTGATGTTTTATGAATTACGAATACTCTTTCCATAAATTATTCGTACACAAAACACCAAGATCAGTAGGTTTCTGCAGGTTTCGAGATGGGAGGCACCCTTATGTCCCTGCTCCTAGTGCGTGCAAGTGTCTCCACACTTCGGTGTAAACTGTAGGTCATTTCCCCACCTGTTTCGACTTCCATTGTTGATACGTTATTACCTGACTTCATAAATTACCTCTGAGGTAAATAAACCACTCTTCTTGTTATCTCGATGCGTTTCTGTAATATCATCATATTACCGTTTAACCATATACTCCAGAGGTAACCAAGCTACACACAGTACAGTCCGTGTTTCTAGACCTGGCCGCTGTCAGACGCATGCGCAGTGGATTTGGTCGAGTCCACTGAGGTAAAGATTAAAGGGATAGTACAGGATCTTACAGTACGTCGGCCTGCCTGCACCTGCAACCACTTCCCCGCTAATACCTCCGCATCTATGTTACTGCGCGTAATCCAGAGGCCAGGTCTAAACTCACGGCCTGTAGCTAGGAGGTTATGACGTCATGGATTGTTATGAAGGGAGAAAGCGAGCCTGATTTAAGTAAACATGTCTGCATTAATAAAGCATGGCACGAGACTCAATATCCCCATGGCCGTGAAGATTAATACTGTAGCGTTCTGCGTTGACGCCGTATAGTGTAGGTGGTTAATAACGTTTCGGAGGAACATACCGCCTCCATCTTCATGTCCATATATAACTAGCCACTCTCTCGTTTCTGGATGTGGCCCACATAGCATGTTTTAACCCTTTCCATTACATACACGACTGGACTGGCTTTGAAGCAGTGATCAATTTGGTACGTATTTATTTAGCTGTCGGAGATCTAAAAAAAATACGTCTGCTGCCATCTGTTAACGGCTACACGTTACTACGTGGCTTGTCTATAACATAAATTATGAGTTATCATGAAGATGCAATAAAAGACCGCTTCTCTAAACAAAACCATTGCGGAAAGGGTTAGAACGGACATGTTACACGCAGAACTCAATAGCCTACAACTGCAGGGGCTGAAATACTTACAGAAAACGGTTACTGTCAGTATATGGCGCATTATCAGAAGGAGCAAACGGTGAGCAAAAACAGAGTTCTGCGTTCCATAAAGTAGGTCGCAGCCACCAGCACGGCGTCAAGCGAAAGTGGCCTATGTAAACATCCGGTAATCAGGGCTATGCTGGCATCGAAACGACTAGACCAGTTCAAGGCAGGAGAGAGTTTCGGGGCAACACTAAGGGCTCCTTCGACACCTCCCCCCCGCCCCCCAAAGGAGGGCGCGTCCATTTAGCACACTAAATAAATTATTACCCATGCAGGACTTGAGGTTCTCACAGCGGCGGCTATGAAGTTCTTATCTTCTGGTATATAACTCCGTGTAGTCGGCTGAAAGTCAACAGACGTTTCGTAGAAACATGTCGCATCCATCTTCAGGGTTGAAGAATAAGCCACGCAACAGATCAGTGTGAAGCTTATTCTTCGACCCTGAAGATGGATGCGACATGTTCCTGCGAAATGTCGGTTGACTGACTCCACGGCGTTACATCCGAGAATATGGAACTTTTCAAATAATTGGCAATTTGTGCACGCTTCAGTAGCGACAATATGCATTATCGAAAGCTTGGATGACAGGTGAACGATGAATAGAAATGAATATGGAAGGAAAGATCCTCGCCTGATCTAGGTACCATCCTGGCATTTGCCTGGACTGAGGAAAACCACGAAAAACCCCTGTCATGACAGCCGGTGTCCTGAAATGGTTGCTCCCTGTTGGACAGCACCCGTTTTTTTTTTCGTCCAATCACGGCGTTTTCTCCGTCAAAATGTTCACTGCAGATAAATAGGGTTTCGAATCCCCAAAGCTTGAAGATGACAACTGCAGTGATGTCGAAACAACGGAAAACTTGCGACATTCTGTGCAAAGGTCTCCCGGAAGCTGAAGTCAAAATGTAATTTTGTTTATCATCACTCGGTTGAGATGCCAATCACCAGAGCGCTCTGCAGGCATTATTTTGAGACTGACTGCTATACAGACAGACAGACAGACAGAACCTGCTGCCAACTCTCATGTCAAAGGAAAGGTAGGGACGGAGAGGAAGATAATAAATGAACTAAATCAGAGTAAAGGCCGAGAAATAAAGAAAAAAGGAAAGAGAGTTGGAAGCAAAAAGCAGGGGAAAGAAGCAGAAAAATACAACCACAAAGAAACATCAAAAGAAGTAATGGGGAAAAATAAATGATGGCACAAACGAAAGGAAGACGGAAAGAAATAGATAAAGAATGGAAGGAAAGATAAAAATGTAAAAACAAAGTTGGCAGAAAAGTGAAAGGAAGCCATAAGTTAAGAAAGTAGAAGACTCGAAAAGAAAAATAGAGAACATGGAAGGTAAGATAGGAAGAAGAAAAAAAAAACAAAAACACCGAAGAAAAGAGGGAAATGAAAGAAGAATAAACTTCAAATACAAAAGTTCCTCTCCATACCGGAAGAGCCATATCCTGAGAAAGGAAACAACGCAGAGGTAGGACACAAACCGCACAGGCGAGGGGCACTCTGATAAGGCCTACATCCTGCGTACCTCGGCCTCGGCTCGCTTGCAACGGACTACACGGCGTTACAGTCCTAAGGATGTCTTCAGGGGAAGCTGGAGGTAACCGACGTTTCGGAGGAACATGTCGCCTCCATCTACAGGGTAGAAGACTAAGCCAAGGGGAAACCAGCAAGAAGCAGGTAACAAGCAGAGCTCTATAGCTACCTGCGTCATGCTGGTTGCTCCCTTGGCTTATTCTTCTGTCCTGAAGATGGAAGTTCTAGTGCTACGTGCGGCCGATGATGGCCTCTAACTAACTCCCTGGAGATAGAGCCCTGCTTGAGAAGCCGTCAGTTGTGCAGCTACTCAAGAATTTCCCAACATTTTATGGAACAAGAAAGTTCATTACTGTTTTCACAAGAGCCCTCCAATGGTCCCTATCCTGAGCCAGATCAATTCAGTCCACACAAATCTGTCCAAATTCCTTATAAAATTACGGTGAGGACTTGTTAACCCCATACCCAAGCCCCAGGTGATGACTGCCCCTTGTCGGCTGTCACGGTTGCTTATTATTCTGATATCCTGTACAGCGAGCTCCTGTGTTCCCTTATGCATCTCTCATACTTGGGTCCGCAGCCCCAGTTTACGCCGCTCCGATACGTCCAGGCATCCCCGTCCGTCGCCCTG